TCCCCCAGCCCTGAGAGCCGGCGCCTCTGAGGTCGGAGCTTCCTGGGCCGGGTTATCAGGAGGCCCGGAGGGGGGCCGGGGGCTTGGGAATCCCGTGCCACTGAGCACTCTGAGGGTGTGGGATGACCTCACGCCCCGGGAACTCCGCGCCCAGCCCACTTAGCAAAGAGGCTGCGCTGCGGCCTGGCCCGAAGGGGCCGCTTCTCCCGGCAGCCGCACGGCGCGACCTCTGGCCTCCCGCCCGCCTCCCGCCCTCCCTGCGGCCACGGACAGGAGTGTCGCCGGTGCACTGAGGTGACCGTCGCACAGGGCTTTGTTTGCGAAGGGGAGGGGAGGAGAGCGGTTGGCGGTCTCCAGGCGGGCTGGCCCCTTTCCACTCGGGGTGCTGGCTGACCAGGCCTCCGAGGCAGAGAACAAAGTCCCATTGAGCTGGCGGTGTCCCCTGGGCGATGCCGCTGTCCCATTTGGCAGCGTGAGGAGTGCCGGTCATTCCTGTCCTGGCCCCGTTCACACCCGCCGGCGGGGGGCGCGCTGGGCCCACGGAGATCCACATCCTCGCCCTGCCAGGACCAGCCTTCCTGCCTTTTCTCTCCAATGCACATGCCATCACACACACACACACACACGCACACGCACGCACACACACACGCGCACATGCACACGCACACACACGTACAGGCACACACCCACACACAGGCGCACGCGCACACATGCACACACGCGCGCGCACAGGCACACACACGTACAGGCACACACGCACACACACTCGCGCGCACACACGCACACACACACAGGCACAGGCACACACATACAGGCACACACGCACGCACACACTCGCGCACGCACAGGCACACACACCATGTGGCTTCCTGCTGCCCACGCTTTGGTTTGCATTGCAGACATGGGCACACGTCGCTTGGATCACAGAATTCTCCCGTGAGCTCCCCAGTCTGAGGCTCGCGAGCGTCAGGCAGGTCCCCGGAGCCCCATGTCAGATGATGTGCGTGGACTGTGGGTGTATGTCAGGGAAAGAGGCCCGCACAGCTTCCGAGGCCTGTGACCGGCCCCCACGGGGCTGCCCAGCGCTGCTGTCTCACAGCCTCAGTGTCTTCGTCTGGGAACCGAAGGGGTACACCCTCCCGGGAGGGTTGTCCTGAAGGCTGCGCCCAACACACAGGCCCGCGCCCGGCGTGATGAGGGCTCTGTCCCAGGCTGGGTGCGGGGGGTGCAGAACAGACCGGGCTCCCGCTGGTGGCCCCTCCCCCTGCGCAGCGGAACCTGCTGAGAAGTTCAGCCGAGGGCCATCTGCTCTAGTGCCAGTGCGCTGGACGCTGCCATCCCGGCGGCCAGAGGAGCAGGCGCGGTGGCTTCCCGCCGGCCACGCTCTGGCGGTAAACGCCACCTCCGGCTCCTTTGGAGCAAAGGAAGGCCGGGCCGGGCCGGGCCGGGCCGGGCGGGGCTGGAGCCGGAGTGGGATCCGGTCCGGAGGTGGCCCAGGGCACATGTGGGATGCTGCTGGGACGGCTTAAAATAGGCCTGCATCCTTGGACATCAAGGGAAAGTCACCCCAGGGTTTGCCAGGGGCCTTTCCCGCCCAAGGTCACTGGCCCTCCGTGGGAGGGATCTTTCAGGGCGTGTTCCCCAGCCCACAGTCGGCATCTCTGACCCGGGAAGAAACCTTTTCTCTAATGAGGTCGTTTAAAACAGAGACCGAGTGTTTAGTGACCACCTACTATGTGCCGATGCTGACTCTCTGCCTCCTTTGTTCTCAGCAATCCTGCGGCCTGCAGATGGCTCTGAGCAGTCTTCTAGGTCTGGTGGAGGCCCCCAGAGACATTAAGTGTCCCTCAAGGTGACACAGCTAAGACGTGACAGAACCAGAATTCAAACCGGGTCTGTCTGTCTGTCTATCTCCAAGGCTGTGTTCTTTCTAACCGCCTCTCAAGCTGAGACTTAGAAGAAGAAAAAAATGTGGCAGAGAGATGGAGGTCAGGGTCTCACCGAGGGCCAGACCCGATGTTCCCCGGGGGGGGGGGGGGGGGGGCAATGGACGTTTAGTGAGCACCTACTGTGTGCCGGACTCCCCCGGGGACAGTGAGCTGCAGTGCGGGTCAGGCTGTGTGAGTGGGAGATGGAGGCACTGTCTGTCCGTTGCACACGTTCCACGGTGTGGCTGCAGCGGTTCCTGCGGTCAGGTAAAGGCCAGAATGCAGGTTTCCCACTGACGTCTCCAAACATGGGGTCACTTCCCCTGGGCTGAGCTAAAGGCAGACGTGGGCGTCCCGTTGGGAGGTCGCTCGTTCTTATTTTAAGCATTTTCAGTTTGTGTCAACAACACATCTTCTCAGAAACGTGCTTCACTCTGTTTCCTTTAACTCGCATCGGGGCTCTGGCCTCAGAGAGGGGGGGAACTGGTGTTTATCCCTCATTCCCTGAAGGAAGTTGGATCGCATCACCGAGATGAAACAAATATGTAAACTCCGCTGGGGCCTTGGCTGCAGTTCGCCCGCGCGTATGGTTGGGTTTGCAGGAAACGTCGCCTTGTGGTAACAAAGCATATTTCTCCGCCCCGCGCGCGCGTCTCCATCGGGAGGCTGCTCGGAGGAACATCTGCTCAGCATTCCCCAGTCCGTTCGCACCGAGCCTCTCCGATGGAGAGATAAGGCCGGGAGCGCAGCGGTGATGTCAGGAGCTCGGAATAATCAGAGCAGGGTGGCTGGTGGTCCCCGGGGCTGCGGAGGGCTTTGATCTGAGGCCATATGTAATGTTTCCTGGAGCGTGTGTCGGCTCCAGGGACCTTGGAGAGAATCCGGCCTGTGGGACGTGGGAGGAGGCTGCAGCCAGGAGCTGGGGGCGTGCGTGCGCAGAGACCTTGGGCTGCCCCTCCTGGTGGTGTTTCCCACGCGTTTGATTTTTGTCTGAATGAACTCGCTCTCCCGCGGGCCCTTGCTCACCCTGGGGGTCCAGAGCTGGCCGCAGCCTGGCTCCGTGTCCCTGTCCTCGCCGCCTCGGGGCCCCTCCCTGGCGGGCAATGCTGGCCGTGCCACCTGAGCCTCTCGGGCTGGCATTTGGGGCCTTCTTGTCTGGCCCCTGTGTTGCCGATGGCAGCCTCACACCTCGCCCCTAGGAAGCAGGGCTGCCCCACCTCAGACAGCCTCTGCCATACCTACCGTGGCACTTACTCTTGTTCCCTCAGCCTGGAGCATTCCCTCTCCCCCTCAAGACCTGGCACTGAGGGCATCACCTTCTGTCCCCAGTCCCTGCCTGAGTCTGGGGCCACCCAGGCCTAAGGGAGTCTGGAATGCCAGCACCACCCAGTGGGCACCTTGTCTGCCGAGGTGACGGCTGTACTTCCAGTGCCTGGCTTGGTGCCTGGCACACACCGGGTGCTCCCTAACGTTTGGCAAATGGACGAATGGCTCTTGTTTCTGACGTTCCTTCCCTTGGGTGGGACCGAGGCTTCATCCCTTGTGCTGTGTCTTCTCTGGGTCAGTCGGTGGCCTCTGTTTGGAGAGTCTTCCCTGGGTTCTCCCCCGTGGACCTGGGGAGGATCGGCCGTGGCGTGCCTGCCTCCTCATCACCTCTCCCTCCTCGTTGTCTCCTGCCCTCGCTCCCATGAGCCTCAGTAGTAACTGAACCCCCTGATGTGCCCAGAGCACAGCGGACCCCCGTGGCTGGGCGTGGGCGGAGTGGTCCCTGCAGTAGCCTGCCATGCCCTGGGGAGCCATTCTCCTACCACCAGACCATCGTGTGCCGGGAGGGCCTGCAATTACTGAGCGCCTGCCAGGAACTCACCGTGAACAGGCAGCCAGGACTCAAGCAGTGCTCACCCACCCGGCCACCCCCAGGCTGCGGGGCCCCCGGAAATGCCCCTGGGATGGAGGGGAGTGGGAAGGATGAAGCTTCCTTCATCCCAGGCCACCTGGGTTCATGGCCAGCAGCCAGATCCTTTAAGAGAGACCATCCCAGCCCAGCTGGTGTGGCTTAGTAGTTGAGCATCAATCTATGAACCAGGAGGTCATGGTTCGATTCTCGGTCAGGGCGCAGGCCCGGGTTATGGGCTCGATCCCCGAAGTGGGGGGCGGGCGTGCAGGAGGCAACCGATCAATGATTCTCTCTCTTATCATTGATGTTTCTATCTTTCCTTGCCTCTCTGAAATCAATAAAAATGTATTTTAAAAAAAAAATAAGAGACCATCCTAAAATTCTCCAAGACCTCTGGGACAGAGTTCCCTAAGAAACGCATCCTGAATGGCGTATGTTCCTAGAAAACCCACCTGGCTGATGAAGAATGCCTTCCTTTTCTGTGGGACCTGAGTCAGGATATGGTCAGTTGCCTGTGAAGCACAGACTTTGTGCCAGGCACCATCTAGAAGCTGCAGCACAGACCTTGGAGCCGCTGTGCGAGTGAAGTGATGTCCCCGTCTCACAGGCGAGGGGTGACAGGCGCTCCCACCTGCCCCAGCCACGGAGGGCCGGCGCCTGGCTCCACCCTGGACTCCACTGCCTTTCGTTCTCTCGTCACGGGTCCCAGGACCTCAGTCTTCCTGTTGCCGTTTCTGCTTTGCTTTTGAACAAAAATTGCACAGAGAGCAATCTTCGACCCCCCCACCCCACCCCCACTTCTCCCCAAGAATCCGAGGCCCCTGTGGCAGCCGTTGGAGGACCAGAAGGATGTGATGGGGATGGAGAAGTGGGTTGACCCCAGCCTGGCTGCTGGTGACCAGCTCATTGGTATCGGTCCATCTGGGGGTGAAACCGCTTTGAATAGTGCTCACCCCCCCCCGCCCCATACACACAGTCTCATTTTGCCCATCTGTGAAATGGGTACAGTGACTTTCCTGGGGAGTGCTGGGCTGATTGGGGCGGCTGGAGCCGTCTTAAGTTCACCAGGTACTGGTTTCATTCAGATGGGGTTTCTGATGCAGATTTTTATTAGAAGATGAATCAGGCCGCACAGTTCCGAGGGGCCTAACCTCCCTGCCTGTCTCTTCCCGCAGACTCCAGCCCCCCCGCGCGCCTCCTGGCCACCCGGCCGTGCTGCGGGCCGGGCCCCGAGCGGCGCCAGGCCCTGGGCGAGGCCCCGCGCTTCCACGCGCAGGCCAAGGGCAAGAACGTGCGGCTGGACGGCCACTCGCGCCGGGCCACACGGCGCAACAGCTTCTGCAACGGCGTCACGTTCACGCAGCGGCCCATCCGGCTGTACGAGCAGGTGCGGCTGCGGCTGGTGGCCGTGCGGCCGGGCTGGAGCGGCGCGCTGCGCTTCGGCTTCACCGTGCACGACCCGTCGCTCATGAGCCCGCAGGACATCCCCAAGTACGCCTGCCCCGACCTGGTCACGCGGCCCGGCTACTGGGCCAAGGCGCTGCCCGAGAACCTGGCGCTGCGCGACACCGTGCTGGCCTACTGGGTGGACCGCCACGGCCGCGTCTTCTACAGCGTCAACGACGGCGAGCCCGTGCTCTTCCACTGCGGCGTGGCCGTGGGCGGCCCGCTCTGGGCGCTCATCGACGTGTACGGCATCACCGACGAGGTGCAGCTGCTCGGTAGGTCCGGGCCGGGGCTCTCTGGGCGCCTGATGGGGATTCTTCCCCACCCCGCAGGGCGTTCACTTCGCTAGGCAAGGCATGGTCCTACACAGCCCATGGTCCCTGTGCTCCAGCTGAGGAAACTGAGGCATGGAGGGGTCACATGACTTGAATTTCTAAGCCGGATTGGTCCCGGGTCCTTGGTCTGGCCCAGGTTTATTTGCTTACTCCTTCATTCAGTTATTTGCTCCTTCACTCACTGATTCTTTCATCCGTTCTGGTGCTCATTGCGTCGCTCCTTTGTCTACTTGCTCACTCATTCATTCAGGCATTCACACGTGTATTCATTCATTTGCTCATTTGTTCATTCACACATCCACTCACCAGATTATACTGTATGCCCCAGTCCTCGAGTGTCTACACCGTCAGGCAGGGAGCCTTCAACCCTCTGGCAAGAGGCTGGAGGCCCCCTGGGGAGGCAGGCAGACAGGTGTGGCGCCCCCAGCAGAGGAGCAGCGGCTAATGCTGACATCCTGGTGGTAGGAACTCGGGGGAGAGTTTGCTGCCCTTATCTTGAGAGACACGCGGAAATTTTTTCAGATGAAATGGCACGTCTAGCATTTGCTTCAACATACGTAGGAGGGAGAGTTGGTGGAGGTGTCAGTGAAACTAGATTGGCCATGGATTGTTGAATCTGGATAATCAGCATTCATTATACTATTTGTATAGGTTTTTCAAAAATAGAATTAAAAAGGGGAAGAAAAAAACAACACACAAAACACCAGGCGGCCAACCAAAACAGGTGTGTGAGGCAGGGTCAGACTGGGGTTGCCAGCTTGCCAAGTCAGCCCTGGATGGAGAGTAGGACTGCAGAGAAACACATCAGACTCTCACCAGGGGGCTCGGGCAGGCTTTTGGAAGAAGCATGTTCAAGATTATGACTTAATTTTATATTAGGAAAACTGAAGAGGAAGAACACTTTATTCCATGACATAGACTATAATTCCACATGGTGACATTTAACAGAGGGACCTGGTTTTAAAGTTTGAGAAGCACTTTTTCTTGCTTCAATTATGGTTAATATTTTTATCACTTAAAAAAATCTTCCAAGAATGTTAGACTTTTTCTTTTAAATTTGTTATGATAAGTCTACACGAGAGACCTCATTCATTCACTCATCCAATAAATCACAAAATGAGGGCTACTCGCCAAGTGCTCTGTGAAGCTCTGGTGCGTGGTGGTGAGCAGACTGGCACAGACCCTGCCCCCAAGAACCACATTCCAGCTGGGGAGCCAGTCCGCCATTAATCTACCGAAGTATAAAGACCTCTGCCACCTGAATGAGCACCTTTATTTTGCTTTTTTAACTTAACTGTAATATGTAGTACCAGTGATTTTCATATCACTAAAAATTATTCAAAAATAATTTCACAATTGTCTTTAAAAAAAAAAAAAACTCCTTAGTTTCTTGTTTTTAGAATGAGTCCATCTCTCTCTTTATATGTATTATTGATTTCAGAGAGGGAGAGACAGAAACATCAGTGATGAGAATCACTGATGGGATACCTCCTGCATGCCCCCTACTGGGGATCAAGTCCACAACCCCAAACACATGCCTTGACTGGGAATTGAACTGTAACCTTCTGGTTCACAGGTCAATGCTCAGCCCCTGAGCCACAGGGTGGAGCGAGATGAGTCCATCTCTTATGGAAACCTCCTTCCTCTGGAGCGTGGTGCCACCAGGCCCTGTGCTCCTGCTGCCTGCTTTCAGCCGGCACGTGTTGAAGAGCCAGGACTCCTGTCCTGCTTTGCCGCTTAGTGACCTAGTGACCTTGGTCATGCCCTTGAACCCCTTCTGTGCCTCAACTTCCTCTGCTAAATGGCGAGTGATAACAGACCGCACCTCACAGGTTGTGTGAGGACTGAAGGGAGCTTAGAACAGTGCCTGTCACACAGGAAGGCCTCAAAGAGCAGAGAGGGGCCCCTCTTTTCCTTGCAGCGTGTGTTCTCGGTGGGGAGGCAGGAAATAAAGGGTTTTCAAGTGCCCTTTAAATCTTCGCCAGCAGGAAAACCTCTGAGGGAAGGGAGGGAGAAAGAAGGAAAAGAAAGAAGGGGGCGAGGAGAAAAGTGAGGCAGGAGGAAGAGAAAGGGGGGGAGAACGGGAGGAGGAGTGGAGAAATAAAGGTAAGAAGGAGTCCTTATGCTTAATCCAATTCTGTGCATCTGTGATGGTTCCTTTGTAAATGTGTCTTTATTGGCTTCTGAGAGGGAGGGGGAGGGAGAGAGAAACGTCAATGATGAGCACCATTGACCGGCCGCCTCCTGCACGCCCCCTTCTGGGGATGGAGCCCGCAACCGGGACCTCCTGGTTCACAGGTCCGAGCTCAGGCCTGGAAGCACGTCGGCCGGGGCCATCCGCGATTCCTAAACCAAATGACAAATGAACCAGAGAAAGAATGTTTTTAGAATGAGTCCATCTCTCTTAAAAAAAAAAATATATATATATATATATATATATATCTCATATATATATATCACATATATATAAATCATATGTAAATCATATATAAATCACATATATAAATCATATGTGATTCGTATATAATCAATTATATACGTAATTAAATATATTTATATGTATTTTCCCACCTGCAGGGGGTGGGGAGAGGGTGGGGCCCCGGGAAGGAAGGGAAGGAAGGGTGGGGGGCTGCCCCCCCGGGCCGCGCCCTCAACCCCCCCCCTCCGCCCTCCCCCCTCCGCCCGCAGAGAGCACCTTCGCAGACACGCTGCCGCCCGCGCGGCTCAGCCAGGCCCGCTTCAGCGCCTGCGCGCCGCCCGGCAGCCTGGACGCCGCCAACTTCAACAACAACGAGCTGGAGAGCAGCCAGGCGGCGGCCAAGCTGGGCGGCCTGGGCCTGGGCCGCCCGGGCGCGCCCGCCGCCGCCGCGGCCCGCGACCGCCCGCGGCCCGCGTCCTCGCCGGCGCTGCTCGAGGCCGACCTGCGCTTCCACGCCACGCGCGGCCCCGACGTGAGCCTGTCCGCCGACCGCAAGCTGGCCTGCGCGCCGCGGCCCGACGCCGGCCGCACGCTGGTCTTCTGCGAGCGGCCGCTGCGGCCCGGCGACAGCCTCTTCGTGGAGGTGGGCCGCCCGGGGCTGCCGCCGCCCGGCGCGCTGGCCTTCGGCATCACGTCCTGCGACCCGGGCGGCCTGCGCGCCGCCGAGCTGCCCGCCGACCCCGACGCGCTGCTCGACCGCAAGGAGTACTGGGTGGTGGCGCGCGCCGGGCCCGTGCCGAGCGGCGGCGACGCGCTCAGCTTCACGCTGCGGCCCGGCGGCGACGTGCACCTGGGCGTCAACGGCCGCCCGCGCGGCCGCCTGCTGTGCGTGGACACCACGCAGGCGCTCTGGGCCTTCTTCGTGGTGCGCGGCGGCGCCGCCGGCCAGCTGCGCCTGCTCGGTGAGTCCCCGGCTGCGCGTGCGTGCCCCCCCCCTCCCACGCTCCCTCTCACCCTCACCCAGAGGGCGCAGCGGGGCGGGACCTGGAACTGGAGCCCGAGCCCGAGCCCAGGCCGCGGTTCCCAATCATGAGCTCGCTCCGCAGCACCTACCTCCATCTAGAGTGTCCATGCTGGGCCCCGACGGGAATGTCTTCCCAGCAAGTGCCCCAGGGGTGCCCAGGTTGCAGGTGCACCGACCTACTGACGTCCTTTCAACATCCGGACCCAACAACAGGGTGAGGCAGGGTGTGGCAGGCTTTTTGCAGCCGGTCGGTGATCAGTGCACTCTATTCCCATCGTTATGGTTGCAGGATTTATTACCTTTCACATGGTCGAGGCATAGGGAGTGTAGGAGAAGCAGTGAGTTACAGCTACACTGAGAAGAGGGAGGAAGGACAAGGCCATCCACAGGAAATGGGATGCAGGCTTGGACCATCCTCTGTGGAGGGGATTCTTGTTTTCATGCCCCAGACACGGAGCACCCATCAGGTGGGCCGGGCCCTGGGCTCCAGGATGGGGCCGGGCAGAGAACCAGACGCAGAGGCGGAGTGCGGAGCTGCAGGGTGTGGTGTTCCTGGAGGCAGCTCCCTTCTTGTGGTTCAGGAAGCAGAGTCCCCATGCTGACAGAAACGATGACCCACCTCATTCACGTCTCCCCTCCTGAGGGTGGCAGGAAACCCATCGCATGATCCCATCTACAGAGAAGAAAACTGAAGCACAGAGAGAGTTAATGGCTGCCACAGTTTTATGGCCTGCGTTTCCTTCTGTGTAGAAGGGCAGGGACCCCCGCATCCTGGGGCTGTGAGGATGAAATGATGAGAGGTGCATGCCTTCAGCAGGTGCTTGTCGCCTCCCGCATGCTTAGTAAGCAGTGATCGTGACAACAGCGACTGTTGTTTGGTCCTGATGTTGAACGGACGTCCGTAGGGCTTCACCCTCTCTCCACCTCAGGGTCGGCTTCCCTCGGGTGGGGCCTGCAGGGAGCTTTTCTTCCCCGCAGTCTGAGGGGAAGCTCTCGGGAAGGCCTCATTGGCCTTGGCTGGGAGGCCTGGCTTTCCCTAAACTGCCACTGAGACCAAGAGGTAGAAGTTCTCACTGGCCTGGACCGTGTGAAATAAAACCCCAGCGCTGTTTCCTAGAAATACACAGGAACGATGGCCGGGCAGGCACATCACGGCTGTCCACCAACCACCCATGCACGGCTCCATCAGAACCCTGTGCGGCAGCTCATGCTCCCCCGTTAGACAGACCAGGAGGCTGAGGTGCAAGCCGCGGAGAGCCAGGGACGAGCAGAGCAGCGCCCGCCCCTCTGATGGAGTCTCTTTGGTCTCAGGCACCCTGCAGTCCAGCCCTGTGATCCCGTCTCCGTCGGGGTCCCTCAGCGGCTCCCAGGACGATAGCGATTCCGACATGGCCCTCAGCGTCAACCAGTCCTCCTCGGCATCCGAGTCTTCCCTGGGTAAGGCAGTGCAGACCTGGGGCGGGGGCAGGGGCGGGGGCAGGCGCTGGCCTGGCTCCTTCCCTGGGCTAAGCTGGGTGGGCACCCTACCTCCCCAACCCCCCACCCCGTATCCTCTCCTTCCTCCGCTGTGCATGTAGCTGGAGGGAAGAGAAACATCCAGACACGGCACCCCAAAGGGTGATAACGGTGCCTCACGCTTGGGGGTAGGAAGGGCAAAACCCAGACAAAAAGCCCACGTCGGTGTCTCCCAAAGTGGTTCCCCCCGTGGGTTCCTCCATAGAAGCTTTGCCTTCTCGGGGTTGCCCCAACGGCACCCACCTGAGAACCACCTTATTCAGGTCTGGCCTGGCCTTCCCTCCTGCAGTGACAGCCCCCAGCTCCCCGCTGAGCCCCCCGGTGTCCCCCGTGTTCCCCCCGCCGGAGCCGGCGGGCAGCAAGAACGGCGAGTGCACGGTGTGCTTCGACGGCGAGGTGGACACGGTCATCTACACGTGCGGACACATGTGCCTGTGCACCAGCTGCGGCCTGCGGCTCCGGAGGCAGGCCCGCGCCTGCTGCCCCATCTGCCGGCGGCCCATCAAGGACGTCATTAAGATCTACCGGCCGTAGCCTGGCCACCCACGGGCCTTGGCCGGAGCAAGGTCACCTTTCCGCAGCCCCTCTGGGCCGGGCAGCCACCGTGGCCACCGGGGAGTCCGAGGGCAGCGGCCATCTCGCCTGTCACCCTCCGTGGTGGGTGAGGCGTGACAGCCACGGAGACAAGGCCCCGGGGGTCTGAGCCCAGGCGAGGGTGGCTCCTGGCTCAGGAGTGCTTTGCCCCCGAAGGCCATCCCGGAAGCCAGCTCAGGAACTGCCTGGCAGACCGCCCGTCCCTCTGGTGACCGCTCGGCTGGGAAGCCGCGTCCTCTGTGCAATGCTTTGTGCTGGGGGTGGGTTGAGGTGTGTGCGTGCATGTGTGCGTGCGTGTGGGGGGGGAGGGAAGGGAGGGAGACCGAGCAGGGAGAGGGCATGTGTGAGAGAATGAGAGAGAGCGCACAGGTATTTATACAGGGATCTGGGCCCCGGGAGGCTAAGGGATATGCGACTGGAGCCCAGACACTGGCAGGACAGGAAGTGGCTCGCCTTCTGGGGCTGTGCCCTTCGCTGGTTTTGCAAGGACTGCCTCAGACAGTATGGAAAAGGGGCGCAGACCTCCTCGGAGCAGAAAAAATAGCTCGTTGTTTACAGCTCTGAAGCAGCGGCAAGTCCTCGGGGGTTAGGTAGGCGGAGAACATAAAAGAACAATTTGCTGCTTTGGTTTCTCACTCGGTCCCGTGGCCTTGTGCGGGTGCTGCAGCCATCGGAGGGCTCTGGGCAGGCCGCCCTCCCCAGAAGCCTTTTCATCCCTTCACCCCCGGCAACCTGGTCCTAAGCACTCTGCACCCGCCCCGGCCCCGGCTGCTTTGGGCCTGTCCGGCCCCACCGTGTAAAAGACAGAGGCTACCTCCCCCTGGGGAGGGGAGGTCTGGAGGCAGGGGCTCGCCTGGAGTTGGAAGGCTCCCGCCTGTGCCTGTGGGCATCCCCAGGACATCCTGCTGGCCAAGCAGGAGGGGGAACTGGGGTTTTGCAACCTGTCTTTGTTCTGACTCGGCCTCCGCTGCTGATTCCTGGGACTCATTGACCTTAGAATGCTGGGGAGATGGAGGTCCTCACTGAAGATGCTGACGTTGGCACTGCCCCCCTTCCCCGGGGCTATTTGCTGGGCGTTTCCCGGAGCCCTGCCCTGCCTTCACCCTCCTCCCTTCCTGCCCCCAGGGCTGGGCCCATCTCCGCCCTGTCTGGTGCCGGGCCCTGAGGCACGCCCTGAGCCTCTGGTTCTCAGCCCCCACTAGCTGCCCCTTGCGGAGCTCTGGGGAGGACCCACACCACCTTCTAAAAGGCCTGAGACGCCTTGCAGAGAGCAGGTGTCACTCTCATACAATTCCTAACCTGTCATCCGGGAGGCAGGCGGGGGAGGGAGCTCAGACTCAGGTATTCACAGAACAGGTGTTTGCCGGTGTGGGGGGCTCAGGGCCCGGCGGCCACGCCCCCGGAACAGCCAGTCCTGGAGAGCAGTGGGTGCCCTGGGGCCGCTGCAGGCCTAGCCACCTGCTCCTCTGGATGCGGCCTCAGTTCTCTGATCTCAGCTGAGGAAACACGACTCTAACCCCTGCAAGAACCCTTTTTCCTAGTGAATGGGGAAACATGCCCACATGTTAATTTTGCAGCAGAAACTTGGCGGGGGGGGGGGGGGGGGGGGGGCTACTGGAACCCCTGTGCTTGCCACGGTCAGAGTTTGAGAATCCAGGCAGGGCTCAAGGCCCCGCTGGCTTTGGTCAGTGGGAGCCTTCCGTCCTCCAGGTGCTGGGTAAGGGACACTGTGAGGACTCACCCCCTCACCCCCACCGCCCCTCTGTGGTTTTCCAGGCAGCCGGCCTCCTGGCTGGCCTGAGCCACAGGCACACGCGGGGGTCTCAGCAGGCTGAGGAGCCAGCTCCTGTCCGCCCCCGGGTTCCAGCTGAGCGGGGTACAGTCGCCACCAGGAGAGCAGTGACGGGGGCCGGGCCCGGGGTGGACCAGCCATGCTCCCGAACCCCGTTACCTGGGATGAGGGGAGCCAGGGCCTGTCCGAGGCGCTCACGGTGATATAAATCGCCTCCGTATCCAAGAGGAGCGGAGGGGTGTCTGTCTGCTAAACACCAGATGCTTCCTGCCGCTCTAAACTGGTTTCTCCAGTGCCACCAGGACCCGCGGGCCTTCCCTCGGGCTCTGTCTGGAGAGGGGCAGGAGGGAGGACAGGGACCTCTGTGCCCCTGCACCGGGCCAGGGCGGGCCCCCACCTTCACCCCCCCGAGGTCGGGCTCCTTACCATCCTGAGGGGCTGAGACGCAGCTGTCACACACTAAGGGGAACGCTCTGATGCTCAGGTGCCCCCGCCGCACCCTCGTCCCAGTCAGATGTTGAAATGGGGGCGGGGACCCTTTGACCAGAAGTGATGGAATGGGGGATGGTCCCCACTCAGCCGGGAAGAGCTGAGGTCTGGGAGTGAGCAAGGCGGAGCAGGGCTGAGGCCCACACCCAAGCGTGTGGTGCTGAGTCCCATGCTCTCTGCTGCTTGGCCTGAGCTCCAGAAAGGAGGGGACTGCCTGGGTTTTCTTCCTTTAAACTCATGTGACCGCCCCCCTCCCGGGAGTCTGGCCCCTGTCCCCCCACAGCCCTTTTAGGCTCATCTGTCCGCTGCCTCTCTGTACGCTGAGCTGGGGAGAGCGTGGGGCCACCATGGGGTCTTTGCCCCTTCCCTTGGGGAGGGGAAGGCCTTGTTCTCCCCCAGGAGTGGGTGGGGGCCCAGAGATGCCCTGTGCGGTGGGCTTGCGCCTGCCCTTTGGAATTGCTGGAGAAATCGGCCCGTTTCCAAGCCAAAGCAGGCTCCCTCTCCTGTCCGCTCCCAGGACCGGCCCCTGGTCGGCGGGCTGTGTGTGGACCCAGGGCTGGGGCCTGGGCCTGGGACACGGGCGCGGGGAGCGAGCTCGTGGTCCCGAGCAGGAGGCATGTCTGAGCTTTGCTTCCACCCGGTGTGTCGGGTTCTCGGGAGAGGTCTGCAGAGGAAGGAGGACCAGGTTCTGAGTTCCAGGGGATAAGACATGTACACGCCCACAGAGCCCCGCAGCACACCCTGCTGACCGCCTGCCGGGGGTGGGGGCTGGGAGGGCGCCCTGGGTGAGGTCAGAGGGAGACGATGGGGCAGATTTTATGGGCTTGCTGACTGCTGCAGCCTCGGGGTGTTCCTGGGTGAGTGCCCGGCTCTCCCTTTGGAACCAGAGCCTCCAGCCCGCACATGGCTGCCGAAGGCCCTTGCAGTGGACAAACCCTCAGGTACTGCAGGGTGATGCGGGGAGAGACTCTGCTCCTGGGGACTGGTTCCTGCAATCGTCCCCAAGCTCTCTGAGAACCCCGGCCAGTTCCCATTGGGAGGGGCCGTGACCTCCCTCTGGACCCCATCTCTGCCTGTTTCTGGGGGGCAGCGGCCGGGGCACAGGCCCTCCCGGCATCACTTGGTGTGTGTCTCCTCGTCTCTCCAAGTCCCTCATGGAATGACTTGTACGACAATCTGTCTGTGCCTTACGAAGTGTCTGCACTTTTTATCCTTTTTAAAGCCACTCTCACAGCGGGCAGGGCTGGCACACACCACGGCGTCCCAGACGCTGTGACGGTCACTCGGTCCGCATTGTGTCGGTGTGGAGTGAAGTGTCCGCCCGCCCCGCCCCCACTACCTGTGTACAGACCTTTAAAGCTGTCTCTTCTCTTATTTTTCTGATCCCATACTGTGACCTCTCCGATGCAGGCTGACCTTTGGGGAACTGTAAGAAAAGTGGTAAAACGTAGGGTGTGGGGGTGGGAAGGGTTTGCACTGGTCCTGTGTGTTATGCTTTTGTGTGTTGTGTGTGTTGATTTTTTTGTCTGTTTTTATCTGTTTTATATTGACATAAGTTTTCTGTTAAAAAACAAATACAACTCTGGCTTGTTACAAAAGAAACCTCTGCAGACTCATTTGTCAATCACAGGGGTGTGCGCTGCGGGGAGTGAGGTGCGGGCTCCAATCATTGCTCGCCTCGAGGAAGCAACTCACAGCATGTCTCCGGGGCCCTTTGGCCAAGTACCTCCTGCAAAATACCGCCAGGAAATCGTTCCAATTGGAGATTAATCTCTAAATGTAAAGGTGTTCATGGCAGCATTATCCTATATAATAAAAGGCTAATGTGCAAATCGACCAGTCGCTATGATGTGCACTGACCACCAGGGGGCAGACACTCATTGCAGGAACTGCCCCCTGGTGGTCAGCCACAAGCCTCTGTGGCAGTGATACATCCCCCGAGGGCTCCCAGACTGCGAGAGGGCGCAGGCTGGACTGAGGGACACCTTCCCTCCCCACCTCCCCATGCGGCCCCCCACCCCCATCCCTCCGCTGAGTGCACCAATTCCATGCACTGGGCCTCTGGTTTATAATGACAAAGAAGAAACTAGAGCAACCATAATATCCAACGATCAGAACGCTTGGTCACGAGTGTCAGAAACCCAACTCTCAATGGCTTAGGCCCACAGTGTTTCCCAAACTTCTCTCACGATGAGAACCACCTGGTGGAGTTGTTAAACTACAGATTCCTGCATCCCAACTAAGAATTTTTCTAGTTAGAGCACTAGTTAAGTATACAATTTTACCTATATGTTCCCAAACTTCTCTCATGATGAGAATCACCTGGTGGAGTTGTTAAACTACAGATTCCTGGATCCCAACTAAGAAGTGCTAAACTAGAATTTTGGGGAACATATAGGTAAAATTGTAAACTTAACGCCTGACGGATTCTCATCTATAGGTAAAAGCTTAGAGCACTAGTTAAGTATACAATTTTACCTATATGTTTTCAAAAATTCTAGTTTAGCACTTCTTAGTTGGGATTCAATCTGTAGTTTAACAACTCCACCAGGTGATTCTCATCATGAGAGAAGTTTGGGAAACACTGGCTTAGGGGACTAAAAGCTCAGGTAATAAGAAGTCCTGAACTGAAACCCAAGAACCCTTAGGACAACTGGAC